GCAAGATAAAATGGGATGCTTATTTTTGTGATCCAAGCATTGCCGATGTAGTAGGTGGAATAAAGCTGAAGAATTGGCTCGATATCTTGAATGTCTCTTTCGAAAATAGTTGCTTGGATGGTGTTTCTCTGCATTTTAAAATTGAAGATATGTAATGAGTGATTGTATGTATAAATGCTTATGCCGAATGAAAGATAATTTACTTGATTTGATATTCCTTACCATAGCATCAGCAAACACTAATTTCTGGTATGGCCTTCCATCTTCTTTGCTATAACGAATTGCGCTCTTTTCTATCACGATGAGCTTAGCAAACCAATTGGAATTTGTATCTGTCAACTCTGGTATTAGAACGCATTTTTTTTCCATGTCGATACTGAAAACACAGGAAGCAAAGTAAAATTAAGTAATAAGTAAGAAGCTTCTGTCTAAAGTATTTATATAAATTGAAGATGTTAAATGCTTCTATATATCAGTGTATGAAACAAGGGCAACGAAATATATCAAGTATTTGATTAACAGAGAAAAGATCTTATGTAAGATGCATGCAAAGGACTTAGTTTTACTTAGAACAGTTTTTTTGGATGCACTGTAAAGATAGCTAAGAGTGAAGTTACCTGGATAGATCGAAGAGCAAAGATTCAAAAGCACAAGAAGCAGTTTGATAGTCTCTGCGAGTTAATAAGATGTATCTATTGAAATAGAATTGATTTATATATACAATGAGTAAGAGTAGTCGAGTGAGTGATACGCGATAGTAACTTAAAACTGGTATGGATTTGGTCTGATACATTGTGAATGGGAGACAGCATGTGATTGCATGTGATTAGAAGGTGCCAGAGAAACGGTGTAATCATTGAAACCATGCATACCAAATAGAGATTACATGTTACACCTAGCAATTAGTTTTTACGCGTGGCATGCAGTAAAATTAGAAAGAAGCATGACACATTACAAAGGACATCTGGATATGGCTTTCATCATACAGGTAGCATTATAGAAGACACAGGTGTTTAACTCTGATATATTGTTGAAGTTTCTGAGTTGATAAACTGGTATGTTGCTATGTGATGAATTAAGTTTTTTCCTTGCGTTTTGGAATAAGTGAATTAGCTGTGTAAAAGTATCTTTGCCAGTGCGTTGTTTATCTAAGCAAAACTGAATAATTAACATGATACTTAATGTAAGAGAAGTGGAATGCATCAGAAAGGTTTTCGTTTTTAAAGTATCTATTTTGTGATTTTGAGTTTTATGTTTCTGCAGTTAAAGCAATGCATTAGCATAGTTATTATTAATATCAGATCAAACGCCAAGTCACTGAATATTTCTTTTGTAATTTTGTGAGTTCTGTAGTTATTTACTTTTAATATTGTAAAACAATGAGAGAACGAGATAAGACACTAAAACAAGCTTACATCTGGTCTGCATTTTATTTACTCATTAAAGGCCACATAGATGAAGCGCAACGGTAGATAGTTTTCTCAATTAACATTTAATTTGAAGTAGAATTTGCAGTCCATGGAGCTTGAATACCATCCTCAGATGAAGACAGATTAGCTGATATATTGACATGTTGGTGTTGGTTAGCTAGATGAGGAGTTGGGCTATATTCTTCACTATTTGATACAGAAGCTATAGTATTTTTTCTACTATCTTTGGTTTGCAGATGACTGATCAGTTTCGTCATAGTAGCAATACCTGGATCATTTTGTCTTCTACCTTTAGCGCTAAGGTTCTGTGTCGTATTGTTTCTCGAGAACAATCTCTCTTTCCAACCTCTTGTGCTCTTGGTAATAGACATTCTGTACATTTAACAATGAATTTAGCAAAGATCAGTTAAAAGATTGTTATGAAACTAATTAGTAGTTGTCGCTAGCACATAGCAAAGTTCTGTTCTACTTCATTGATATTGCACTAAACCGTGATTTTAATGATTGAGAGAAAGATTGCAAATCTGATGGTCCAGCTCTGTGTTGACTGCTAGAGCAGGACTGATTACGAGACCTTTTAAAAGAAGATAATTTGATATCCGAATAAAAAGAAAAGGAGGAGATAAAATCATAGTCTTAATTATTACTTTTACATTTTATTGTTAAACAATGAGAGAATGCGGTTAGACACTAAAATAGGCTTTTATCTGGTTTGCACTTTATCTAGGAAGTGAAGAAGAATAAACTAATGCAGAATGTCTAATATTTTTGCAATTTCAGCAAAATGCCTATATAGTTACACAGGCATGTGTATATTGGAATCTAAAAACATCTCTATTAGCCGCTTCTTATTGTTCCTTTGTTTCATGAAGTTCAAAGAACTACGTTAACATTGTACATTAACTCATGGAAGATCCACTACTGAAAAATGTTACTTTTAAGCTCTTTGATTGCAGATGATATGTTTTTTTACTCAAGCAGTAACTATTATTATGTTAGTGGATCTTAGCTTTATTGCTTATTAATGAAATGCTTAGTTTGAAGAAGAAGAACATTGTTCCATATCAGCCAATACTTTTGCAGTTGTCTAACATTATTCAGGCAAATTACAATCATGAACCTAATGATTGAATAGCTTTAGGGGCCTGGTGTCCGTCAACCTGATGAGTTTCTCCTGATTAGTGGAGATATGGTGGAAGTAGCATCGATGTCGATAAAGGGAGTTTTTGATTTCTCTAGCCAAATATAGATGGGGAAGGAAACAAACTGTGAGTAGTTCTTCACCAAATTCTGGATCCTGGTTGGCTCTATGCAAATCTCAAGCTAATCATTTGCGTGAACTACAAGTTTAACAATATGTTATCTCTGTAATCAGTTGATACATGTTGTACCCATAAGCATCGTGTATATTGACAGTCATTTTCATTTATTGAAAATCGAGATCAGAGTTGTATAAAGATTCATACAGCAATATAATGTTCTAGTTTCTTTTTTTTTTTTGAAAGTTAAATAGTTCCGTCTATGCTTCTCAGGAGTCCTGATTCTTAACTACTTGATTCATTGATATCTGATAGAATTTGACAAGAATACATATCTCTGGGCCAAAGTATGCCTAAATTGTAAGCACATTTGTGTTACATGTGTTGAGGTCACCAGGAGCAATGAACGTTCTTAGTGCATTGTAAATCATTGCAAGGCAAATAGATAAAGAAAATAGCAAGAGTTGGACTAAAAACTTATTCAAGGACAAAAAAACTCTGAACTAACTTTTCAATAGAATACTACAGTATGGTGTTACTTTTTTCTAACAATTATATCAAAACCTGCAATCCAAAAGGAAGTATTTCTAGCTCAGGTCTTTTGCTTTCTGGATTGAGCTAGTGTTACTGAATAATGATTAGGTTCCACAGGACTACCACAAGGATTGGGCACTCAGGTCACAATTTACAAAGCTCAGTACCAATTGGCCATTTCTTGTTCAACTGTCCCTTCCTTAGTTACTCTACCTTCTGGTGGTCTGCTTTATTTGCTCATCCTCTTTTATATTCTAGAAATGATGTGAACTGGATATAGATGACTTGTTGCAAGGTTTTGAATAGGTAACTCGGCATTTAGATCACGTTTAAATTCAAAACAAAAGCATCATCTTTCTAAAAAATGGAGTGAAATTTCATAACCAAATTGCAGCAACTTCTTTTTCAACACCATGCTGGGTTGTCCTTTTTTTTCTTCTGTATTTGGTGAATTTTCTTTCTGATTGTCTTCCATTCTTGCCAAACGAGAGGAATTGGAATGTTACAGAATGTTTTGGAAGCCCTGCAGCATGCCCCTCGATGTCTAAACCTTAAACACAATAAAGGCTTCGCAATTCACATAGGGGTTAAAATCCTTTCTCTAGAGTTCAACATAGGAATTCTTATAAAACAGCAGGAATAGAAAAGGATGCAACTTTCAACCAGCTAAAGCCATTTGCTTAGAGGCATTTCAGTTTAAAATGAATCTATAAGTTCATCTTTGGTCATCCGGATTCCAGTATTTCTTGAACAGGAGAAAACTGATCCAGGCTCCTGTTCTTACAACATATTGTCAGTCATATGCTACCTCTATGAAGATATAGGGCGAAATTAAATGTAGATAGGATTCAGGAGGTTTTTCCATGTGTTAGAGAAACAGAACATGCAGATGAGTTTGCAAATTCTAAACATGTGGTATTTGGGAATTTAGACCCGAGTGACATCAACTCTTTTTTGGAGGCTTCAGTGAATATGGAATTTAAACATAACTTAATAATTTCAGTTACTTGTTTCATGCTGATATGAACATCAGTCAAAGAATTTGAGCACCTGATTTACCTAGGTAAATCCCTATTAGTGAAAAAATTAGCAGATGTTTATGAATTATTAAATGCAATATTTATCATAAGTCCAAAGTCAATCCCTCACCATTTTGATTTCCTCTAAAGCTGTTTCCATAAGATGTTACCAGGCATACTTAAAGAGTAGTTATCCTTTAATCTTGCACCATAAGCTCAATTGAAATTGGAAAAATCATCTGATAGCAACTACATTTTGGACATTACCATGACAAAATTAATCTAGAGAGGGATTTAGACTAACAAAAACAAAGACAATCAAAATAGGTTATATCCTTTTCCCAGATCTTTTATCAAAATTAAAAGCTAGTATTGAAAATGTAAGCTAGACAAAGAACAACCTTTAAGCAGCAACTATCTTAGGAGTGCTTCTAGACGCCGACCATGATGTGGCTGCAATCTTTGTCGTCAAAAACCACCCCGCCTTGTCAGGTACCTCGTGGAATGGAGTATTCAGTTCCTTCAGACGTGACTCAAAAACACCTGCTAGACTTTTCTCTGAATATTTATGTTTTCCATGACCAGTGCTGATCCCAAGCAGTGAAGGCAGCTCCTCCTCACTTTCAAGGGACTCTTTAAATGTAAAGACCATTGGGTTGGGCTTCTAGATTGTATATCAGTATAAATCTCAAGTTTAAGGCCGAGGTGTAGCAGTTCACAAGCTTTCTCGAAGACATCAATCTTGATACAAAGATCAATTAAACAGTTGCAATATGCTTTTCTAACATCAGAATCAACTTGATGAAAGAGTTTGCCAGTTGTCGAAGAAAAACTTCTTTGTGGCTGTAAAGACTGTGAACAATCAACTCCAACAGGCGACTAACCTGCAATTTGTCCAGAGTTATCAACTTTCAATACTCATATACAATCTCGAAAGTTAACAAACCAAGCTACACTCAAACAGAGACCCATCAGACAATCGAATACAGAGTTGTCCAAACAACTTACCAATTGAGTTGCTATCAAGACCAATAATCAAATCTTTAAAATTGATTCAATTTTTTCTGGAGTCCAAGAATCAATATTCTCTTAAACAAACTAATAAATTTCTATGTGCAACACTGCCTGGCATGGTAAAATTTAAACTTTCATATAATTTCAATCAATTCATACTTGGTTGTGTAAAATGAAAGAAAACCCACATTCGAAAATCCAAAAAAAAAACTTTACGTCAAAAAGGAATAACAATCAAATTGAGAAAGATAAGTAGGGGAAAAAACTACGTCAACCTAGTATTCAAAGTACAGGGCCAGACATTTGATGAAGTTCCTGGTTTTGGGTTTAGCATAGAATATATTCTTCATTCATGCATGAAACTTGGAAATTCCAAATCTTAAAAAAGAAAGCAGTGAGGAGGTATAAATAAGATAAATCTGAAATCGAAATTTACATAAAGAGTTAGACAACATACCTTATTGTATGTAAACATGAACCACTGGCAGGAACTCATTAATCATTCATGACTGCAGATATGATCTGGTTGTACACTACATTTTTTGTAAGATTTGTTATTTTGGAAAATAGATTTGGAGGTCGTATTAATACTTTGACATTACTTGATGCTCTGCCACGTGATAATGCTACATATAATTGGCCGTGGGAGAAAACAGGTTCTTTTAGATATAGACCAACATAATCCAATGTTTGTCCTTGTGCTTTATTAATCGTCATTGCAAAACAAAGCCTTAGAGGGAACTGTGTTCTTTTAAAAGGGGTTGAACAGAAATCATCATCAGAACTTTGCAAAGGAATTCGAGGAATGAAAACATGCTTACCTCTAAAAGAGCCACAAGCAATCTCTGCGTGTATTACGTTGTTTCCAAATTCTTTGCATACGAGTCGGGTGCCATTAGATAGGCCTTCAGCAGGGTTAATATTTCGAATCAACATGACAGGACAATTAATTTTTAATATCAGCCTGTGAAGAGGCAAGCTCTTAGGCGTTAATGAATTCAAAAAATCTTCTGTCTCTGATTGATGGCATGACTCAAGGATTTCATCATGGCTTAGATATACCTGTTCTGTACCTGGAAATTTAGCAATGATTTTGTTATTAATTTCAAATACAAAATCATTTCTTGTCATTAAAATTGCATGGTTAACAATAGAATCTGGACAATGAGCAAAAGCACATAAATCTGGAAATACTGCAGCAATCAACGCATCAACTGATGAATCGTCATCGACAAATACCAGATTCATTCCTTCAGGTATACGCACCTCATCATTTTTATTTGTTGCTTCAGTACCGTTGCCAATTCGAAGAAGGTAATCAGAGAAATGAGGATCTAACTAAGCTCGCATATTTTGTGATAGTTTTAGTTTTATGAGGTACGGCCAAATAGGAGACTTTACTAAGCTAGCATTGACAATTTCTTCTTTACACCCTTTGGTGATCACTGGTAATGTTTGTCGGAAATCACCACCAAAAACAATGATCTTACCACCAAATATGGCATCTTTATTCATGATATCTTTTAATGCTTCATCAAATTTTTCTATTGAGCTACGCTTTGCCATGCTTGCTTCATCCCAAATAATTACTTTTGCATCTCTTATTAACTTAGCAATAGCACTTTGCTTTCCAATATTGCAAATTGCTGTATCACTATCTTGTAATGGGATTTTAAACCTCGAATGTGCTGTACGGCCACCAGGTAAAATTGAAGCTGCAACTCCAGATGTTGCAGTTGCTAGTGCTATGCATCCTTTTGATCGTATTGCTGCAAGGAGAGCTCTGTATAAGAAAGTTTTTCCAGTTCCACCTGGACCATCTAAGAAAAATGCACATGAGATATTATTGTCAATGGCATGCATAATCTTGTCAAATGCTGATTTCTGGTCCAAGTTTAACTGATGCAATGCACGAAGATCTTCGTCAGATACTACTATGCTTCTTTCAACATCAATTTCCTTAGTGCTTAAATCTTGCGAAAGCTGTTCAACTTGAATATCAGTTAAATTATAATCAGCAATATTTTTTCCCATGGATCGAAGACACGAATCAATTAATTGGAGCACTCGTATTTGTACAAAGTGTGGTTCAAGTGATGTACTATGTCGAATATCTTCAGATAAGAAATCTTCATATTTCAACCATAACTCTCGTGGATTTGTAGGAGTACAATAAGCTAATATAGATGCGAATAATTGTCGAAGAGAACTTGGCATCTGGTATGCAGAAGCTTCCTGTAAGCAAAGTTCAGCAGCATTGTCAGAATGCAATAGGCCAAGTAAATTTGCAGCTTCTTTAAATGTTTGACATACGTATCCATTGACAACCTTTAGATCTTGGAAAGAAGTAGGCTTCCTAACATGCATTAACAACATTCTGAGATAGTATCGCTCCCCTTCAGTAGGGCGAGCAGTTAAAATACGACCAATAACTTCTCCTCTTTTTCGTCTACTCCAATATTTTGATTGTGCATTCCAAGTAAAATACTCAGGAAACTCTATATATAAACAATTCAAATGCTTGGCGTATTCATCATAACAATTCATGCTAAAGAATTCTGTAAGCATTGTCTGTGAGGAACATGGATTGCTGATTACATTTTGCAACGATTGGTTTTCATCAAATGTAACTGATTGCTTATTCTCCAAATGAAGTTGCAAAGAAATTACTGATGGATGTACCTCATTTAAGTCAAATGCATAGATTCTCCACATTGCTTCAGGGGGAGAGACCCATCTTGCACAAACAAAATTTTTTATTTCATCAACAATTTCATTAGGCCCCGTATTAGTCAACTGATATAGAATTTTATCATGGCCTTTATAGATGTATTTATATATATATTTGACAGCTCGAATTGTTGAACAAATTTCTACATTTATATGACAATTAAATTTAGACAGTAAATAGGGATTGTATGGTATTACCCATCGATTATCAAGAGGATGTCCACGAACAGTTACTGATTGCTGAAAATCTCGTCGTCGATAAACAGGGTAGGAGTTGTGACTGTGGCGAGTGGCTTCTGTAAACTCCTTAGGATAATTATCCTTGCATCCAATGTGTTGTTTCATGCATGGGCAACTTGGATTCATAGCACCACAAGGACCATGCATCATATGTTTGACAACGAGTTCATAAAGATAAGGATGCTGCCTAGCATCTGGCAACTCAGCACACACTATGCGATCGTATGATTCAGGAGAGTACATCTTCCATCCTTGTTTCAGAATTATCAAGAAATGAGCATGAGGCAAACCTCTTTTCTGGAACTCAATCACATATGTATAAGCTGCTACTTTTCCAAATATGTTCTTTTTCAGAAGTTCATCTTTCAGTTGTTGAAGCTTTGCACGAAAAACTCGAGATATTAAATCTGGTCTATTCTCAACTTTATCAGTTGGCAAAAGCATTTTTTTAATCTCAGGCCAATTCTTGTTGCAGGTCATCGTCAAAAAGATATCCGGTTTTCCATATCTTTGAACCAAAGACATAGCATCCATATATCGTCGTCGCATATCTCGAGGGCCACCAATGAACGAAGCTGGTAGAAAAATACGTTTACCAATACTTGATGATGATGATTCACCGCTAGAAATACTATCAACTATGCCTTGATAAATCTCTGTCCGAAGTTGAGCCTGTTTGCTTCTTCCTCTGTGGAAATCTAATCTGATTGACTCAATCTTGACATAGACATCGACTACATATTGCTGTAGTAATCTCCCTATATGTAATAACATTGACCGGTCAGCATCTCGGATCTGCAATTTGTAGCAATAATACTCACGACATGAAACTGTGTTGCGCTTTCTTTTTCTTTGGTTAATAGCTGAAACAAACAGATAATGATACTTATATTATCTATTGATAAAGATAATAGATTACGTAAGATTAGTATATATCATAAGGAAATATAATATTCATAGGTTAACGATGGTATATAAAAACGATTATTCGCAATACCTCTATTTTCTGCATCAATGATATCAGTTGCCATCGTTGCTGTAGTTGTAGCTATAATAGTTTCTCCCTCACAAGTCACTGATGTAATGTTGCTCTTATTTGGATGACGGATTTTTTCAATCCCTGGATGCCAACCTGGCTCTCCATTTGCAAAGATAAGAGGGTATTGCAACGAATCATGACAAGCAAAATAATGCTTGACAATCTGCGTTTGACCATTCTTTCCATAAATTTGTATGTGTTTAGAGTTGACATGTTCAGAATTTGTGCTCTCGGTCCAAACAGCTCCTACTTGCGACACAGTAGGTTTATTGAAAACTCGTTGATCTACAGCAGGCGTGGTGTCAAGTACAATCTTATAATCATCTATGCCTGGCAAATCTTGTAATCCTCGGAAAAATGCAGAGTAAGGATTAATCTTTAAGATTTTCTCAAGCTTAGTCACCAGTGTTTCTTGAAATCTACTTGAGATTGAGAGCCGCTGCGTTGTTTCATGGTCAGTGTCAACAAAGTAAAGTTGCAAGTTCCGTGGCTTCTCACCATTCTCTGGAATAAGTGGATTAATATAATGATACATTTGTCCCTGGATTCGAAATGTATAAACTCCATTGTAGTTTGCAGCCAAAGATTTATCAGGATGGATACCAATCGAAGTGAATGCAAACATGTTATTATAGCTTCTAACACATCTGCGAAACTCAGCAGCCTCATCAGAGTCTTCTATATATAATAGCATAAGTTCTCTCGGCATCTCAGTAGATAATAGTTGTACCTCACCGGAGGCACAGCAAAAACCAGGCGGTTCCTGATGAAATCGTTTTGCATGACAATACGGACAACTTGGAACATCAGGCAATACAGCAGGTTCTGTAGCTATTGTAGCTAATGGATCAGTTATAGCTGGTTTTCTAGACCGACGTTGCCTACGCAATGATGGTTCACCAACATCTAAATTAGTTGATGAAACCTCGTTAGCACCATCAGCAATAGACGCACAGACATTTTCTTCATTTTCCTGCAAACCAGCCAAAGCATACTTAAGGACGATGAATTCAGTGTGCCTAAATCAGCCAATCTGACTTATAATAGACAAAAATTAATATCTCACCCACTGGTTAGTCTAGTCGTAGTACATGCTTAGATAAAACCACCGGTAATATAAGTAGTCTAACATTTATTGCAAGGGGTCTAAACAACAATCTTATTGCATGAAAGATGCTCAAAATAAGCACAAACATACGGTTGGAAATTGCTCTGCATTACTGAGCAATACTGCAGGCTCTGTAATTATTGTGTTCAATGGATTAGTCATAGAACGTCTTGTACGTCGACGTCGCCTATGCAAAGATGATTCACCGGCATCTGAATTAGTTGTCGGAACCTCGCGAGCACCATTACCAGTAGACCTAGATACATCTCCTTGATTTTCCTTTAAAACACCCAAAGCATAGTTAAAGATTGTGAGTTTAGTATGCTTAACTAAGTCAAACTCGTTTGTTTTACCAAAGTGCATGCTTAGGCGAAACCACTGTTAACATAAATAATTTAACATTTATTCCAAAAAATTTAAACAACAATTTATATTGCATGAGACATGCTCAAAATAAGCACAGACATACAGCTTGAAGGTGCTCTGCATTGTTCTCTGCAAATGGCAATATTGAGCCTGAACCCAATGAAGATTCAATGACACCCATATTTGGCTGATTCACAGCATTTGAGTCATGTATATTAAAAGCTGTGACAGCTAATGTACACACTCCTAATGGCGCATCATTCTTTGTCTCACGCCGAGCAGCAGCACGTTGCTCGCGGCTCCTTCGATTTTTCTCAGCACGAGCCTCTTCCAAACTTCCATATACTCTATTTCGACCCATTCTGAAAGCATATTATACACAGCTGAAGCGGAAACCAAACAAACGTCTAAAATGAACCATACAAAAGAACCACAGCAACAAAAATGAATTTCCAGCGAAGCCTGGGGAGCCAAAGCAACTGTAATTACACAAGAGATTGGGAAACCAAACATACAGGTGAGATGAAATCTTACATATATAAAGCGTCAATAGGAAACTTTAGAAAACTTTCCACGGCATTTCTTAAGCTGCTAAACAAAACTAAGAAGAAGAACAGAACCTAAGAAGAAGAAAAAAAGCTAGGAGAAAAGAAAGGATATAGCTGACCGACCAACCGCCCACTAACTAATAGTAATTGCTGACTATCAAAATGGAGAGCCACATGGACAAAGCAAAGCTACAATTGAGGAGAGTCAGCAGACAAAAGCAAAATGCCCAGCAAAGCTACAATGCAAGAGAGCCAGCAGACAAAAGCAAAATGCACTGCCACCCATCAGCAAAAGACCAAACCAACCGCCCACTAACTAATAGTAATTGCTGACTATCAAAATGGAGAGCCACGCGGACAAAGCAAAGCTACAATTGAGGAGAGTCAGCAGACAAAAGCAAAATGGCCAGCAAAGCTACAATGCAAGAGAGCCAGCGGATAAAAGCATTGCCACTAAATGGGAAAAGACCAAAGAGCCCCTCAAAGCCACAAGAATCACGCGATAACCGGCTCATTTTTCACTGTTCACAAGCCTATCCACGCTTTATATATGTAAGATTTAAGAACTTTTCCCTATTTCTTCTTTTCTCCAACTTCTCTTTACTTTTTTTTTTCATCTTCTCAGTAGGCCTTCCTCTTTGGGAGGAAGACTACCATTGTCTGCCTCCCATATATTTTGTTTTATTGCGTTTTTCAATTAAGTTTTTCATAAGTTTTCGTATTTCTTAATGAGAGTCCTTTGTATCTTTGTTTCTTCTAGGGATTCTTAACAAGAATTTTTTGTTTCTCCTAGAAGTTTCAAGTGGGACTTTTCTGTTTTTATCCTCATTTTATTGTTTGGTCCAAATTTACTTCATATCTGATTGCCAAATCTGTAATTTTTTTAGATTTTAAATCTATCTCGACAGATCTTATCATCATTATTGGAATTTCAAGTCGTTGATTAGAAGATCTACTATTGGAATATGTATAGGAAAGAGTTGCAGCAATTTATCTTATTAGAAGGTCATTTAAAAAATTCTTGTATTTTTCAGTTCGGTTCAAAATCATTCAAATCTACTGTATCTGTTATTGAATTGCACATTTGTTATTTCAAGTGTCTGTTTAGCCAACTACTAGGGCAGAGATGTAAATCAAATCGTGTTGAACAATTTCTAATGATCCATTAATGAATTTTGCTTTTTATACAAAAAAAATAGGGAAAATCTTACTTGGTATGAATGAGATGTCCGACAATTAATTCAACCAAATAAATATTGTATAGATGATTTGCACAACATGTTAATTTACATGCAAATTTCAGCAAACAACCACACCAAATACTATATTCTTCCAACTTAATCACACATTAGCCACACTAACATTAGTACTGTTATTTTATTAAACAAATATTCTGACTTATGTTACTGTTACACTATCCACTCTTGAAATCTTATGCCTCAGGTCACCTACCCCTGTAGTATCCTATAATTTAAGAGGCATAATTCAACAGTACAAAAGCCCAAGGAAGAACTTTAACGTAGTATTAACACTTCTACATACTTTCAAACAATTCCTGCTACTTCTTCCTAATGTGAGATATCATAAAGCTAAGTGCAAAAAAAAAAAAAAAAAAAAAAAAAAAAACTCCTTGTAGTTAAGCGTTTGTACACTTTACCTCTTTGTGATTTAGAAACACGTAATATATCTCATCATGGATGTAATCAAAGTAGAATTGTTTCCTATTAGATTTTAACAGCCAAACGAGAATAGTCAAACTTTTCAAATAAAATTATGTTAAGATTATAAAATTACCCTTCAATATTGATGTTAACATAATATTCTAAATAAAAATTGTGGTAAAACTACACGCATAGAAAATGTTGAGGTAAACATGGAAATTCAGTAAAAAGCTTATGCTTCACCCTCAACATGATTTGTTAGACTACGACCAACGCGATTTGTTCTTCCCCTTTTCTAGTTTTTAATCCTTCATTGCAACTTTTCTTTTCATGTATTGTCAAAGACTTCCCCTTTTCTTTAAGCTTCTTGTGCAACTGAAAGAAAGAAAGTTGGAATAGCGGCAACAACGGATAGCTTCTTGCGCCACCACTGTCGCCGTCGTCCAGTTGTAGAATTTCATCAATTGTAGAGCTTCTAGTCCGTTTTCTGCATGGATCATGATTCCGTCATTGAATTTATCAAAAAGATGATCGGAGGCCAGTTAAACGATCCAAAAACTGCCCCAAAGAACGTCAAGTTAAAACAAAAACGACGACCCGCAAAGATCAAGTTTTGAACTTGTATGCAGCTTATGGTATGACACAGGTTGTTCAGAAAGTAAACACATTTGAAATATTCGGGAAAAGTTAGTTTTAGTATTATCATACAACAAATTTTCATTTCATGGTCCATCTCAGACATGTCTCCGTTAAATCTTCTAAGTCTGATTGAAAGACGGAAAAGAAAATATACATACTCAGTGATTAGCACATTGATAACCGGATTGGAGGAGGGATGGAATGGATAGTATGGAGGATTGGAGCTATGTTTTCAGACTCGGATCGGGCATCGACTCGGTCGCCCTCAGGGGTCAAGGGTCAATGGATTCGATCAGGTTTGATCGGGGTTGAACCAGATGACGTCATAAATAAAAATTATTTAAAAATTAAAATATTATATGTAAACATCCGGTTTTTAAAATATTGTATGTAAAAATCAAATAGCAATTTATATTATTCAATGAACATTAACAAGTTTATAATTAAAATTATGAATTTGATTAAAAAATAACACCAAACTTTAGGACTATATTTATAAAGTATGAAATATTTGAGATATATTAATAATTTGTAACAACTTAGGAGCCAAAACATAATATTCAAATTGCTTTGACCTTTCAAAAAAAAAATTTGGGCGGCAGGACTTAGTGGCTGAGGTCTCCAACTCTGCTGCACATGTCATGTCAGATCCCTGCTTCAATTAAGAAGGCCCCATTATATCTTTCCATCGGGCCCACCAAGATCCCACCGCTGGTTTGTAAGAAAAAAGAGCAAAAAAAGAAGGCTTTGTATCAAATCGGTTCATCCGGTTTGCCGGTCAAATCCGGTCAAATCCGGTTTTTGACCGGGTTTGACCGAGTTTTAAACATCCGGTTTTTTAAAGCAACTCGGACTGGACACTTGGCCGGTTTTAAAAACACAGGATTGGAGCACACGGGATCCTCAATGCCACTTTTCCAGTGGCAATTCAGTGCCACTTCTATATTTATGTCAAGTGTCCTGTTTATTTAATTTATCATGTGTTATTTATTTAAATTTCTTCTACCATCACATGATAAGTGAGATTGATACTGGATTTGATACAGAGTAGTGGCATAGAAAATCCCAACTGGGATTGGATGAGGGATGAATTGGATAGTATGAGGGAAGAAGTGTAAATGAGAAATTTCAAATTTGAAAACTCCCACTTTTATCCATATATATATAGACACATACACAACCGGATTTGGCTAATGGCTATCCAATGAGTACTCTAGGGTTACTTGCCCAGTTTAGCAACTTGTAGAGAAATGATAAAAAGAAAGATATCTCTGTACGCACTAGAAAAATCTTCCTTTAATGAATTTGACAAGCGTTGGGTTTACATGAATAAGTAAAAAAAAAATTAGTTTTATTAGTCAAATAGTATTAATTTGGATGGTACGGAGAGAATATAACTGAGAGGTCCCAGATTCGAGACTTTTCACTTACGTTAATATATATATATATATATATATATATATTGACAATAAAAGTTGGTTAATGACCATCCAATGAGCACCTTGAGGCCTTAGCTTTTAGTTTTTTGTTAAAATATTATTAATTTGAGACAGTATTCAAATGTTACAGGTGCAATTGGTGGAAATTAGGTGTACTTACATGAAATGACGCCAATATACAGAATCACTTCTTTTCTTCTCTACCTCTCCATTTTTCCAACTTCTGTCTACCTCTTTTCCGCTTCTCAAAGGCCTCTTTCTTGGGGAAGAGACCACACTATGGTCTCTCTCTTATGAATTTTCTTTTATTTTGTTTTTCTAATAAAGTGTCTCTTAATTTTTCTTAGTGAGAACTTTCTGTTTTTCCTAGAGATTTCTAGTGAAAATTTTCTATTCTCTAGGGGTTCATGTAGAGATTTTTGTATTTTTCTTATTTTGTTATTATATTTGAATTTATTTCAAATTTGGTTATTGGATCTAATTTTTTTGGATTTTGGATTTATTTCAACAGATCTCATTATCATCGTTGGAGTTTAAAGTTGTTTATTAGTAGATTTGGCGATTGCAACATGCACAAAAATGAGTTGCAGCAATTTATCCTATTATAAGTCAATTTTGAAATTTCTTGCATTTTCAAGATCTATTTTAAATTTTTTCAGATCTATTGTATCTATTGAATTACATATATGTAATTTTTAGTGCATGTTTAACCTACCATTAATACAGTGATGTAAATCAAATCATATTGAAAGATTTTCAGTAATTCGTTGATGAAGTCTTCTTTTTATATGTATGCAAAAAATGTACTTACGTTCATCCACCGAGTACCTTCAGAAAAATCCACTATAAAGTTTGCTGTACATTAGGTTTACTTATGCGTGCCCACAGGAAACCGTTAGAAAAATCCATTGCAAAAACCTTGTTAAGTCTTTTATGAAGCCATTTTATTTTCCAAAATGAACTTTAATTTTTAAGGTAAAAAGCAAAAGTAAGGAAGTTACGAGATTTTGGCAATACAAGTTTGAATCAGCGCAAGTGGTAGCAACAGTAATTTAATCTCCAGATTCATCGTTA